TAGGCAATTGGGGGTTAAGTGACTTGCCCAGAGTCACACAGCTAGTAAGTGTCAAGTGTTTGGTCTGATGCTATATTTGAACTCAGGTCCTCCTGACTTCAGGGCCAGTGTTCTATCCACTGTGCCACCTGGCTACCCCTGGCCACTGCATCTTAAGAGACACTAACAAACTGGATCAGGAACTAGGATAGCATGTCACAGAAGTACAATTGAAAGATCTGGGGAAAGTTTCACCTGAGGAGTGAAAGAAGTAAAGCAAAGCCTAAAATACTGAGTACAAAGAAATTTGCAAACCAATTCAGATAGAAATATTTGAAAAAAAAATCATGTCCCCCTTATGTCTTTCATTGGGCATGTCTTATCTGAGCCTACTTGATTGTAGGTTCCTGCAGAGCTTTGTATTTCACACACTTTGCACATAATAGATACTCAGTAAATGTCTATTGATTACATGAATGTATGAATGAATGGTACCAGTTTCTCCAGTTAGAAGAGAGCATAGATTGGTTGGGCGTTTTTTTAACCTCTCTCATTTTACAGATGAGGAAACAACATCGAATTTAGAGGGGTTACTTAGGGTGAGGCAGGACTGACTAGAAGCCAAGTCTTCTGACTTCTAGTCCAAATTTATGGTTCTATATGCATCCCTTGTTTTCTTCAGGGACTTCAAAGGGTCCGTGAAGGGGCCATTGGAAGACGCTGGTTTTGAGAAAGGATTTTAAGAATGCAGGAAGGAAAAAAATTTAAAAATTAAAAAAAGAAGGGAGGAAGAAGGGACAGTCATAGGAGTAGTGGACGGGTAGTGTAAGTTAGGTGAGGTAGGATTTCTCCACTGCTCCCCTTCTCTCAGCTCAGTTGATATCATCATAGAATGTCATCACAAATGATGAGGTTTTAATGTGTTAACAAAACTAGCATCCTATGATCTCTTTATAAAGAATGAATATCCTTAGAGGGGGAAGGGGATAAGAGAAGGGGGGGGAGAAATAGAAGGGAGGGCAGACTAGGGGAAGGGATATTCAGAATGCATGCCATCTTGGGGGTGGGGGGAGGGGCAAGATAGGGTGAAAATTTGGAACTCAAAATCTTGTGGAAGTAAATGTTGAAAACTAATAATAAATAAACTTAAAAATAAATAAAAATTTAAAAAATAATGAACACCTCTCTGAGTAAAGAAGGACACAATTCGGGTTAGCTGAACAAATAAATTAGCTATGCCCCTAAGAATTTTTTTTTTAAACTAAGCCTTGGGAGATTTCAACTAGATTGTTGTGAGACTAGAAGAGGGAATTTCTCTTTCATTAGCAATGTAGTTTTTGAAGATGAGTCCCTCTGGCCTCTCAAGATTCTTATAACTTTATCTCTACCTACCTTTGCAGCCTTTTTACACAATACTCTGCTTCATGTATGCTACACAGGCTAATTTGTTGTTCTAATAGGACCCTTCATCTTCCATCTTCACAACTTTGTAATGGTGGAATGCTCGACTTCCTTCTTCCCCACCCCTGAGCTTCTCTGACTTCTTTTATTTCATTTTTTGAGGCAATCAGGGTTAAGTGACTTGCCCAGGGTCACACAGCCAATAAGCATTTGAGGCTGGATTTGAACTCAGGACATCCGGACTCCAGGGCTTGGTGCTCCACCCACTGTGCCACCTAGCTGCCCCTACTTCTTTGAAAACTCATTTCAAACCTCACCTTTTTGGTGACTACTTCTCCCATCTCCTCCCCAATAGTGCTTTCCCTTCTGAGATCACCTTCCATCCACTCTCTCTGTATGTCTTGTAGGTACCTAATTATTTAGATACCTACATTAGAATGTGAGTTCCTTGAGAGCAAAGACTGTTTTTGCCTTTCTTTTGCCAGCACTTAGTATAGTCCCCAGCTGCTAAGATCTTAGTTGTTTTTTCTTTTTTAACGTTAAGATTCAAGCCAGTTTTTACACTCTCCAAGCCACCATCATCAAGATGCTTCTTAATTCCTTTTCAGTTCCTGCCATCAGAGTGGTATCATCTGCATATTTGAGATTGTTGCTATTTCTTCTAGCAATCTTAATTCCAGCTTTTGATTCATCCATCATGGCATTTCGCATGATGCACTCTGCATACAAGTTAAATAAAGCGACAATATACAGCCTGTCGTGATCCGTTCTCAATCTTAAACTGATCAGTCGTTCCATGGTTGGTTTTAATTGTCGTTTCTTGGCCGGCATATAAATTCTTCAGGAGACAAGGAAGATGAGCTGGTACTCTGATCTCCCTGAAGACTTACCATATTCTATTGTGATCCACACAGTTCAAGGCTTTAGTGTAGTCAATGAAGCAGAAGTTGATGTTTTTCTGGAATTCCCTTGTTTTCTCCAGAATCTAGCGAATGTTGGCAGTTTGGTCTCTAATTCCTATGCTTCTTTGAAAACCAGCCTTCAGGTCTCTTCCCACTCTAGTGCATCCTACATACTGCTACCAAAGTCATTTTTCTTAAGCACACATCTTTCTGTCATTCCCTTAATTAACTCCAGTGGCTCCCTATTGCCTCTAGGGTGCAATAGAAACTTGTCTGTTGCGCTTGTAAAGACCATCACAACCTGGCCCCAACTTAGCTTTCCAATCTCAACAGACCTGACTCCCTTGCACACTGTTATCTAGACAGACAGCTCTTCTCCCTTTTCTCCACACAGGGCACTCTATCACCTTTCTCTGTGTGTGCCTTTGCATTGGTCATTATACATTGCCTAGAATCCTTCTCTTCTCACCTCCACCTCATTGACTTCCTGGATACAGAGACAAAAGGTCCCTGCCCCCAAGAATCATAGGCTCAAATTCGGAACAAGTTCCAAAGGGCAATCAAACTGCATACCCTCTGTCCCAGCAATACCACTACTAGGTCTGTATCCCAAAGGGAGCATGAAAAAGGGAAAAGGACCCACATGTATTTATAGCAGCTCTCTTGGTAGTGGCAAAGAATTGGTAACTGAATGGATGCCCATCAATTGGGGAATGGCTGAACAAGTTGTGGTATATGAATGTAAAGGAATACTATTGCAATATAAGAAATGATGAGTAGGTGGCTCTCAGAAAAACCTGGAAAGACTTACATGAACAGATGCTGAGTGAAGTAAGCAGAACCAGAACACTATACACAATAACAGCAACATTGTGCAATGATCAACTTTGATAGACTTGGCTCTTCTCAGCAATACAATGACAAATTGTATGCAAAGACAATTCCAAAAGACACATGATGGAAAATGCTATCCACATTCCTGAAAGAACTATGGAGTCTGAATGCAGATGGAAGCATACTATTTTCACTTTTTTCATGATTTTTTTTCCTTCTGCAAATTGTAATTTTCTTTTTTTTTTTTACAAACTGTTTCTTCTTTCACAATATGATTAATACGGAAATGTTTTATATGATTGTACATGTATAACCTATATCAAATTGCTTACTGTCTTACAGAGAGAGGGAGAGAATTTGGAACTCAAAATTTTATTTAAAAAAAGGAATGTTAAAAACTGCCTTTATATGTAGTTGGAAAAAAATAAAATACTATTAAAAAAAGAATCATAGGCTTAATCATGATTCTAGAGTGCTAGTGATGAAACATGCTACCCACCTTGAGGTCCTCTACCTTGAAGTCATTACCAGAGGTTAATGCAGGTGACCTCTGTCACCTTCTTGACAGAGGAGTGATAGATTGAAGATTTCCTTCAAGACCCACTTAAAATTTCACCTTCTACAGGAAGCCTTTCCTCATTCCCCTTTATTCTAATGCCTTTGTTCTTTCCAATTTATTGTGTGTGTACCTATATCTATACACAAAATCTTGTGTGTATATAGATGTTTGCATTTGTCTCACCCATTAGACTGTGATCTCCTTGACAGCAGGGACTGTCTTTTCCCTTTCTTTGTATCCCTAGTAAGTAGCACGGAGCCTGACATGTAAGTAGACATTTAATGAATTGACTAACTGAAGATGCAGAATGAGACATATTTTTTTTGGACATGGCCAATGTCAGAATTTGTTTTGCTTAGCTATGTATATTTGTTACAAGAGTTTTCTTTTTTTCTTTTTTCTCCCAAAGAAAGACAGGAGGTAGGAGGGAAAGGAAATCTAGAACAGGAGTTTCAAGCCTCTCAGCCCCACTTGGGCTCCCTAGGGAGAAGAAAACAGAAAACCAAAAGGAATCACAGACCAGCAGAACAGCTTTGCAAGTTTCACGTGGACTTTATTATATACTTGAAAAGCAAGCTCTGAACAATATTGACACTTTCATATACAATCCTCTCTTGTTCTACTTATAGATGGAGATGCTCACTTTATTTGGTGTTTGTTAAATTAAGAACACTTTTTTTAAGTAAAAAAAGAATCATGGGATCATATATGTCTGGAAGAGACCTCTGAGGCCATCTTGTCCAACTTACTCATTGTACAGATAAGAAAACTGAGGCCCAGGGAGTACTGAGTGACTTAATCATAACTAACTTTTACATAATGATTATTTACCCCCTTTACAAATATTTTCTCTTTTGAACCTGACAACAACCCTGGGAGGTAGGTGTTAGTACTATCTTACCCATTTTACAGATGAGGAAATTGAGGCAGACAAAGGGTTAAGTGATTTGCCCAGGGGTCACAAACTGGTTAAGCTTCTGAGACTGTATTTGGATGTATCTGACCTCGGGTCTTCCTGACCCCAGGCCCGGCTCACAATGCCCTCCCCAGCCACCCCCTTGCTGACTTGCCCAAGGCAAGACAGCTCTCTGACACCAGAAGAATTCGAATCCCGGTCTGGTAGCAGATGGAAGAGGCAGCGGCCAGGTACCTTTGCAGGCCAGGGCAAGTCACCTGTCCTTTATGCACAGTGGGCTCCCCTGAGGACCCAGTCTGGGAGTGTACGAGATCTCAGGGACAGGGCGGTGGGGAAGCCGAGAGCTCCGGAGGAGGGGGGAGGCCCCCGCGGGGAGGAAGAGGAGGCGGGGCAGTCCCGCCCTGGGAGGAGCTTGGCACAGCCGGGGGCGGGGCCTCTAGGTTGGCGGAACCCTTTTCGGCCCCTCCCGCGCTGCCGCCCGGACGCATTTCGCCGGCACACAGCCGCCCTAGCGACGGGCGCCTCGTTGCTAAGGGACGGCCTGAAGAACGGATTCCTGTGCGCATGGAGTCTGGAAGTTGCAGACCCCAGGCCTCCTCTCCAACCCTGCCTCAGCCTCTGATAGTGCGTACGGAGTGGGGATGAAGGTGGTAGGGAACGTGGGAGGGGGGCGGGCTAGGGAGGAGAGCCGAACGCCTGCAGCGTTGGGACACCGATTCCCGTACCAGAGGCGGGGGCTGGACAGGGCCCCCACGAGACTTCCCCCCCCCCGGTCAGACTGTAGCCCCACAGCGGAGGGGCGGCCACCGAGGTTCCCCCTTCGCGGCCCTCGCTGGATGGTGCCGGGGCGAGGCCCACGGCTCTGGACTGGAGGACTTGGGTTCAAATCCAGCCTCGGCCATCTATGTGCTCTTGAGGTTAACTTCCCTGAACCTCAGCTTCTTCATCTGTGAATGAGAGAATAGAACCCCATGACTCACAAAAGCCCTTCCAGCCTCAGATTATAGTCCTAAAAGATTAGATAACCGTTAAATCCCAGCTTCCAGCTTGAATCTTTATGAGCTAATGACCTCCATCGTTCTGCCTCTCTCCCCTCTCCCGCCTTTGTTGGGTTTCCTGGCCCCTGATGGGGGGGGTCCTCTAGAAGTAAGGCTGATACCCCTTCTCCTTCCCTGTCTCCCTCTTTCCTTTTCCCTCCATTAGTCACCCCACGGGCCCTCATGATGCCTTTTACTGGCTCTTTGTGTGACGCTGGGAAATCACTTCCCTTTTTTAGGTCTCAGTTTCCCCATATGTAAAATGAGGAGGTTAGATTAGATGGTGTATAAGGGCCTTTCCAGCTCTGACATTCTATTACTCAGTGAGTCATTCTTTTATGTGTGTGTATTTATGTGTGTGTGTATAATATATAGTTTAAAATAGGTGAAATTGTCATCACAAAACTAGAAACTCCAAAGAAACAGATTATCCAATGAATGGATGAAATAACAACATGTTAGTGGAATCTAAAATTACCCTGAAACATTTATGAGGAGGATGAACTAAATTACCTCTGAGGTTTCTATGCATATCATTTGTTCCTAAGAATGTTTGCACTACTGTACATTTTTCCAATTGGAAAAAATGAAATTAATCTCAAAATTTGAAAAGTTCTTTTGAAAAGAAAGGTTATTTTATAAAACTTTTTGCTATGGAATTATATGGCCAATGAGAAAGAATAACTAAATATATTATTACTAATTGCAGTGACTAGCAAGGGGCTATCTGAATCACTTCTCCCAGAACAAACTTTGGAAATCTTCAGATATATCCATTTGCCACACAGATTTAGTTAGGATTTGGGGTAATTTTAAAAGTTATCTTTTTATTGTAAAGCCCTACAAATGCTTTTTTAAAAAATAAATTTTATTTTATTTTCAGGTCTGCATTTTCTTCCTCCTGCCCCCCCCACCCCCCCCAAAAGAAAGAGAAAGAAAATTTATTATGACTATACAGTCAAGGAAAACAAATTCCCACACTGGCCAACTCGAAGATGCTTTTTACAAATAAAATGTTGGCACTTGAAGAATTAAGAACCCAGTCAAATTATTTCAGAATGAGACCAGTGCAATTACAGTACCAAATATAGGGGGGGGAAATGCCATTTTTGTTTACTTTTTAAATATTTGTCATAGTCTTGGGAAAAGGAATAATTTGGTAGATTAGGAGTCCGGACATCTTGTCTACTTCAGCAAACATTTAAGCAGCATCTGCTATATGCAGAGTACTCTCTAGCCACAATTGAGGTGTATCCCTAGAAACAGTTCTTCCTAGAGGAAATAAGTAGAGATATTCACAAGGCAGAGTTTCTTTTCTTGGGGCTGTTGCTTCCCATGAATTCCTTCTTATCTATCTGGAGAGACCAAACCCCTTTGGAGAGGAGGAGGGGAGTGATTCCCCTATCTCTGTTTAGTTCTCCTAACTTCATAGAAATCTGAGTCCAGGTGTCTGGTTTTTTATCCCCCTCCCCTCCCACCTTCTGTAGAAGATTACATCCTCAATCATCTCCTCCTTCTTTTCTCTGAAATCTTCGGCCATTTCTCACTTCCAGGTTCATTTCTTCTGCCTTCAAACATGTTACCTAAGCCTTTACTACCCTTAAAAAACCTTCACTAATCCTACCATCACACTGAAGCTCTTATCCTCTGTTTCTCAACCAAACACCTTGAAAAAGTAGTCGATGCTAACCGTTTCCATTTCTTCTCCTCTCACTGAGCTGTTAACAGCTCTTTGCAATCTGACTCCTGACTTCTTTAAACTGGAGCTGCTGTCTCCAAAGTTATCAATGTTCCCTTAGTTGTCTCATCTGCAGTCCTCATCCTTCGTCTGCTTTTAGTACTCTTGGTGATTCTCTCCTCATGAATATTCTGTCTTCTCTGGGTCCCCATGATCCTCCACCTCCTGTCTGACAGTTCCTTCTCAGTCTCCTTTGCCAGCTCATCATCCGTATTACACACCCTCATCTGGAAGTGTTCCCCAGGGTTATGGCGCACACTCTCTTCTCTGTGCTCTGTCTCTTAGTAACCTCATCAATTTTCACGAGTTTAACTACCAGCTATGCAGATGGCTCCCAGTTTTTCCCCTATCTTCAGTCTTGCATCATCAGTCATGTATTAGGCATTTCAGACCAAATGTCCTGAAGACACCTCAAACTCAGCGTGTCCAAAATTGTGCTCATCATCATCTCCCCCAAACCTTTCCTGCTCCAAACTTCACTGTTTCTGTTGAAGGCATCACCATCGTTCAGGTTTTTCCACCTATATATACAATCAGTCACCAAATCTTGCTGTTTCTGCCTTCACAACATATCTCATAACTGATCCCTTCTTTCTATTCATGTAGCTACCACCTTAGTTCAGGCCTTCAACCCGCCCCCCTCCTGAATCCATAGGTTATTACAGCAGCCTCCTATTTTGGCATTCTTGCCTTAAGACTTTCACTACTCCAGTCCATTCTGCACAATTGCCAAAGTAATTTAACTTATGTACAGATGTAACCATGCCAATCCTGTAAAACTCTCATTATCTCTAGGATAAAATATAAACTCTCTAGTTTTTAAACCTCTATGCATCCTGACCCCAAGCTATTTTTCTAGCTTCCCTGGACATTACTCCACCTCCTGAACTCTGCTCTCCAGCCAAACCCACCTTCTCTCTGTTTCTTTCATATGACACTCCTATCTCCCATCTCTGTGCTTTTACATTGGCTGTTCCACACGTGGGGCACACTCCCCTCTTACCTCCTCCTCATAGAGACCCTTCCTTCCTTTAAGACACTATCTTCTTCATGAAACCTATCCTGTTCCTGCTATTGTCCTTCCTCACAAACTACCTTGCATTTAACTACTTTGTATATATTTGTATTTATTCACTTTATACTTAGGCTGTATATAATATGTATTTATTGTCTCCACCAATCAAATGTAAACTCATTGAGAGCAGGTACAGTTTCACTATAATTGGACCAAAAAAAGCACCACTTTATGCAAAATCTCTCAATAAAAAAATAGGTTTGTGGTTCCTCCTATTGGTTTTAATTTTTACTTACAACTTCACTAATGTGAAAATATTTTTAATGGGTATGTAAACGTAAAGCCTATATGAAATTGTGTGCCGTCTTGGGGAGGGGGGAGGGGAGGAAGGGGGAGAAAAATTTTCAACTCAAAAGCATATGGAAGTGATTGTCGATAAATCAAAATAAATTAATAAAATTTAAAAAAAAATAAAGGTAGATAGCCTAGGTTTCTGATACATAATTATATTATTTAAAGTCATGGTTCTTTCATTCCATTTAGGGGTTATTCTTTTATCAGAGGCTCTCCCATAATAAAGAGTTGCTGTTCCTTTTGGGGAATTTTTCCCTATCTGACTTTTAGGAAATAATTTGACTTCCTTCTTGAAAAAATCTGTGGACATCATTCCTGGATGTCATTCAATGTAGTGGCACCAACTCCCTTTGCCAGCCTGAAACTCAGAAAATTAATCAAATGAAATTTATTTGAAAGATTAACCAATAGGATTTGTGGTGCACCTCTGGGATAGTAAAGAAACCATCTGCTAAAAAAAAATAGGTTTGAGGCAAAATGCTGAAAAATTTGGTGACACATTAGGACAAAAAAAAGATAGGAACCTAGTTAAAAACAGTAGCCCAGTTTTGTTAATGTCAAATGGTTAAGAAATACACAAATACTATCACAGATAGTGGACACTTCCTTGGACTGCTGCTTGACCTCCCTCTCACCCCCCTCACCCCTTTTCAGCAGCACACAAGGAAGTAGTTGGGAGGGCTGAAACTCTGAGCTTCTGCCTTAAGGTCTTATCAGAAGGGTTTAAAAATGGTATGGATCAGCCCTTCTCTGCCCACAGCTCCTGCTGCGCCAGAAGTACAATAAATATGGCACTGTTACCTTGACAGACATCTCAGGTTTGCTTCTAGAAGTTGACTTTGGAAAGGTTACTGCTTGTGAGTTATTGCAAAATGATGTAGTTTTCTGCATTCTCACTCTTAGTCCCTGGAAGAAGTTGGGCAGAAGCAGACTTGAAATTAGCATGATGTTCAAAATGTTCCCTAATGTATCAATCACATTGGAACAAATTTACATTTTCAAAACAGTCATTTTAGCAGAACTGATTTTATTGTTTCATTCTTCATCCTTTTATCTCCATAGTTCCTGGCACATAGAAAGTGCTTAAATATTTATTGGTTCATTGATTCATTCATTCATTGGTATGAAAAGAGAATCAAAAGGCACCACATCTCTTAATTACTAACCCAGATGCCTAGTGGCAAGCCTTCTGACCATCTGCCCTTGCTTCTTCGTCGCTGGTAAAATTGTTGTTCTTGTAACATCCAGGTGATATATGACTTTTGCAGATCCCCAGGAATGCCAGCTCAGATGTGCCAGCAGGGGCAGGTGGCATTGGCGAAGGTGTTGACCGAGTGCTTTGAACCATGGGCAAGCTCCAGAGCAAAATCAAACATAACACCTACAGATACAGGTACAGTGACCTTGCTGTAACCCAGGGCTCCCCAGGCTTTCCAGCCCAGAGCCATATCACTAGCCAACACTTCACCCTTCCACTGAACAAAACAGCTTAGAGAGGGTGGCCAGGGAGGCTGAATTACCATCCCTTGAAGGACAAATTGATGTGTTCCTGTTGGGCTGGATAGGTCCCAAAAGTCTTGACATTGCTAGTGCCTCTTTCTAAGTTGGGAAAGCCTGCAAATCTTTGTGGAAAATTACCTGAGCACTAACAAGACCTGTTTATTTGTCTGTATTCAGTTTATCTGAGCATTTATAGAGAAATAACAACTCCCAGTTCTTAGCAAGCCTTTTAGTGTCTGATTGCCCCAGCATTTTCTGTGCTTATGTTGGCCCAACATACCCATTTCACTTCAGATCATTCCTTTCCCTAGTCCCAGTAGCTTCTTCCTCTACCCTCCTGAAACTTCCACCCTTTGATTTAACTGCCCTCTTTACCAGAACTGAAGGATACGTGGAGGAGAATGGATCTACTAAAGTGGTCCAGGAGTACAAACAAGCTCACACTGATGCTGTCAACTCAGTTACTGCTGTGAATTCAGACATTTGTGTTTCAGGAGGAAAAGATAAGGTAAAGATGACAGTGCCAGTTGTTCCATGGGTGAGCAGAATAATTAGAGTGGCTCTGGGAGAACAGATTTGATTAAATGTAGTTGATAATCTTAAAATTAGAATTTAAAAGTTTGGAGTTAGAAGTATCTACAGTCTGCAGTTACAGATTTAGGAACCATTGATTTGCTGAATGAGATTGTTCAGCTTGTTCTGTGCTGGTAGCTTTCTCTCTCAGGTTTGAGGAGCCATGTTCACACCTTATTCTAGCACTCCCCTCCCCATCATATTTTTGCATGTGATCGCTTTATTTCCTATGTTTTTTATATTTTCTTTCATTGTTTGGAGGCAGTTGGGGTTAAGTGACTTGCCCAGGAGTCACATAGCAAGTAAGTATGTCTGAGGTCACATTTGAACTCAGGTCCCCCTGACTCCAGGGCCACTGCTCTATCCACTACGCCACCTAGCTGCCATTATTTTTTCTTAAAAGTCCAAAAGTTCTGGAAAACGATTTGGACTTTTTCAAGAAAAGTAACTAAATTGTTTATGCCTTTTGACCTTCTCAGCATATGGCCTAAGAAGGACAAAGATAGAAAGGTACAATATATACCAAAATATGCATTGAAGCATTTTTTGTGTCAACAAAGAAGTAGACACAAAGGAGGTGCCCATCAATTAGGGAATGGCTGAACAAATTCTTCATCTGTGTTCATGGGCAGCTAGGTGGTGCAGTGGATAGAGCACCTAGAGTCACGAAGATTCATCTTCTTGATCTCAAACCTGACCTCAGGCACTTACTAGCTGTGTGACCCTAGGCAAGTCATTAACCCTGTCTGCCTCAGTTTCCTCATCTGTAAAATGATCTGGAGAAGGAATTGACCAACTACTCTAATACCTATGCCAAGAAACCCCAAATGGAGTCAAGAAGAGTGTGAAGTGACTGAACAACAAAGAACAAATCATGGTATGCAAATGTGATTTTTTTGGCAAAGGTACTGAAGTGGTTGACCATTTCCTTCTCCAGCTCATTTTACAGATGAGGAAACTGAGGCAGACAGGGTTAAATGACTTGCCCAGGGTCACATAGCTAATAGGTTCCTGAAGTCAGGTTTAAGATCAGGGTAATGAGTCTTCCTGACTCCAGGCTGGGCAGTCTATCCACTGTGTCATCTAGCTGTCCCCTGCAATAACATTAATGAAAAGAACAATTAAAAGAAGCCATACTCTAGTAATTATAATACTCAAATCTCAGTCTTGGAGAACTAATAATGAACTGCCTCTCTATATGGCAGAGAGTTGAGGCACTGCAGGGTTCAGAATGTTGTGTACATCAGTAGATGTGGTCACTGTATTGTTGTTTTTGCTTAACTTTTCATTTGCTACAAAGGAGATTCAATTTCTTTTTTTTTAATTAATTTATTTTGATTTATCAGTATTCACTTCCATAAGCTTTTGAGTTTTAAATTTTTCTCCCCCTCCCTCCCAAGACGGCACACAATCTGATATAGGCTATACATATATATTCCTATTAAATATATTTTCACGTTAGTGATGTTGTAAGTAAGAATTAGAACCAGTAGGAGGAACCACAAGAAAGAGGAAACAAAACACGACAGAAAGAAAAAAACAGCAAATAGTATGCTTCAATCTGCATTTAAACTCCATAGTTCTTTCTTTTGATGTGGATAGCATTTTCCATCATAAGGCCTTTTGAGATGTCTTAGATCCTTGCATTGCTGAGAAGGGCTAAGTCTATCAATATTAGTCATTGCACAACGTGGCTATTGCCGTGTACAGCGTTGTTCTGGTTCTACTCACTTCATTCAGCATCAGACCACACAAGTCTTTCCAGGTTTTTTTAAAGTCTGCCTGTTCATCATTTCTTATATCACAATAGTATTCCATTACATTCATGTATCACAGCTTGTTCAGCCATTCCCCAATTGATGGGCATCCTCTCAATTTCTAATTCTTTGCCACCACAAAAAGAGCTGCTGTAAATATTTTTGTACATGTGGGTCCTTTTCCCATCTGTATGATCTCTCTGGGATGCAACCCTAGAAGTGTTATTTGCTGGGTCAAAGGGTATGCACATTTTTATAGCTTTTTGGGCAGGGTTCCAAATTGCTCTCCAGAATGGTTGGATCATTTCACAACTGCACCAACAATGTGTTCCAATTTTCCCACATCTTCTCTAACATTTTTCATTTACTTGTTTTATCATGTTGGCCAAGCTAAGGAGATTCAATTTCAAACAGGAATGAATGGGATATATTCATAACAAAACATATCAGTGACTTTTTTTTTGTCTTAATCTTAAGACCTTGAAACACAACAAGGTCTTAACATTGTTGTAAGTTTTATTTGCCAATAAATTAAAGTATATTCATAATGTTTTATTCTTTTGAACACTTTTAAAATTCAAAGCCCCCAAGAAAGGGCTCAGGTTCCCATTTAATCTTCAGATTCAGAACCTTCCTCATCTTGACTAATCTGGAAATAACGTAGTTCGTAAGTCTCCTTGTCAGATGCAACCACACAAAGCCAATCGTGAAGATTATTCTTAAGATATTTCTTGGTAAGATATTTTAAGTATCGTTTAGAGAACTGCTTCTCTGACACAGCAGTGATCTTATTCTTGAAGCATTCAATATGAACAACATTCCCTAGATTCCCCGTTTTTCCATTGACTTTAACTTTCTCCTTCAAGAATTGCTCAAGATTTCCAGAATCAAAGATTCCATCTTCAACTGGATGAGTAAGGTCAAGGTTAAACTTCCAAGTTGATCTCTTAGCCTTCTTATCTTTTGGCGGCGCCATCTTGCACACACTTGTCGCAGAAAGAGCAACTTTTTTTTTTTAAGGCCAGTGCATTAACCCTTAACTTCTGCAAACTGTCTTTTGAGTTTACTTTATTAGACCCTTTAGATTTCAGCTTAGCTTGTGTGGAGAGGAGAAAAGATGAGTAGGAGGTCATCTAGAAAGTGATGAGAAGTCAATGAAGTGAATTAAATGGAATCAGGGTGATATGATGTGTCAAAGGAAAGGGTGAAACCATTCACAGTGTGGAGGGATGAGGATGAAGAATACTAAGAGTAAGTGGCGTAAGGACAGGGGCCTGTGAACGATAGGTATAGTACTTGAGTATTGATTTGAATCAAAAGGTAGTGGTCAAGTTAAATGGTTCTAACTACTTTCTCCTCAGATGGTTGTGGCCTACAATTGGAGATGTGGAGATATAATGAAACAGTTCAAAGGACACGAACGGGAAATCACTAAGGTGTGTTCAATTTAATTCAACAGTCATTTTAAAATACCTGCTATGTGCAAGGTACTGCCCTGGACTCTGAAGATACAGAGGCAAATCCAAAGCCATCTCTGTTTGCAGTGTTTACAGGGGATGGGGGTAACCACAGAAGTGAACTTTATAGAAAGAAACAGAAAGTGATTTTTAGGATGGAGAGAATACTAACAACTGGGGGGATCAGAAAAGGAAGTTAGATCTGAGCTGTATGTGGAAGAAAGCCCAGATGAGGAGGGAGGGAGGGAAGGGGGAAGGAAGTACATTCCAGGCATATGGAGGACCCCTGGCAGAGGCACAAAGGCAGAGGGGCAGAAGATGAAATGTTGCATAGAGCAAACAGCTGGCAGGCCCATTGCAGGAGTGGAGAGTGTGTGAAGGGGAATGATGTGAGTCAGACTGAAGAGATAGGCAGAAGCCAGCCTGTAAAGGGCTTCAAATGCCAGCCTGAGGATTTTTGCATTTTATCCTAAAGGCAATAATAAGGAGCCAAATGAAGATTTTCAAATAGCAGAGTGGTATATGTGGTCAGATGTTTTATGAATATCAATTTGGCAGCTGTGTGGAGAATGGATTAGAGAGGAGAGACCAGAAGCAGAGACCAGTTAGCTATTAAAACAGCCCAGGTGAGTGGTGATGAATTGTCATTGTATAGGGAGTTTGTCCAACCTCTGGGGAAAAAAAACCCAAACTAATAAAAGAGTAGTTAGTACTACATAATTAGTGGTTCCATATTACTTGTAGAATTAACCATAAACTCTTCTGTTTGTCATTTAAAACTCTTCACAACCTGGCTCCAACCGGCCTTTCTAGCGCTTACTATACACAGCCCAGTCAAAATGCCATCTTACTGTTCCTGTCCCATGACCCTCCATCTCTTATCTCCATACCCTTACACTTCCTCTTCCCCATGCCTGCCAAGTACACAGGCCTTTTTTACCTCCCCCTTTTAGAGTACCCAGCTTCCATCTAAACTTAGCGGAAGCACCACCTTCTAGAAGAAACGTTTCTTGATTTCTCCAGCTGCTAGTATCTCCCTCTCCAAATTAACTTGTATTTATTTATTTTATATATACTTTACGTATGTGTATAAATCTTATATCTAAATTAACTTTATTTAGTTTATATGTACTTTACATACGTATATAAATCTATGTCTAAATCCATATCCCTATCCTTATCTATATATGTTATTTCCCGCATAGGGTATAAGCTCCTTGAGAACAGAGACTGTTTAATTTTTATCTTTGTATCTGCATTACCTAGAACAGTCCCTGGTATATCACAGGCACTTAATAAACACTTATTGGCATTTGTTGACACCTAAGTGGCACGGTAGGTAGAATGCTAGCCTGGAGTCAGGAAGACCTGAGGTCAAATCCAAGCTCAGACACTAGCTGTATAACCCTGGACAAGTCACTTAACCTCTTTCTGCTTCAGTTTCCTCAACTATATAATGGAGATAATTTTAGCACCTACCCCCCTCTCTCCCCTTACCCCCCCCTGCTGTTATGAGGATTAAATGGGATAATGAAGCACTTAGTACAATGCCTGACATATAGTTGGCATTTAATAAATGCTTATTACCTTCTCCCTTCCCCCTGATTAATTGATTGACTATTTAATCCTAAAGAAAAATACTAGAGGTATTGATATTGTGAGTCCCTGCTCCAGGAACAGAAGAACATCCTACTTTTCCCGTTATTTTTGCTTAAGTGTAAAACATCTGACTTTTTGCTTGTACTCTCAGTAGCTTAGGTGATGGTTGAGAGAGAACAGAGCCAACCCTTCCCCAAATCAAAGTACCCAGGAAATTCAGCCAGACTCAAACTGGTCAGCAGAGTTTAAATTGAATGCATGTGACGTACAAGGGACTTGTTATGTGTTCTCAGAAATGTTGAGAGCAGCATAAGATAAGGAGAGAGACTGTTGTCTAGTTAGAGAGACAGAATTTATAGACAAGAAAAGCTAAATAAAACTAATGAATTTAAAAAATAGAGCAGAATCTAAAGGCATTATATGATAAAGTGCCAAAGGCACTTTTCTGCATAGAGCAAAAAATCAGTGCTTCAGGTGGTCAGAGGGGGAGAACTCTCTGGGCCTTTGTTGGTCAGGAAGAGTTTCACAAAGGAGGGAGGATTTCAAATGGGTCTTAATGGATAGGTAGGGTCTCAGGCGAAGAGATAGGGAGCAGCACCAGCAATGGTATGGAAAGGGGGAATGAAACTGACCCTGGCACCTAGTGATCTTTAACAAGTTCCCAGTTTGTACATCCTCAAGAGTTTGAGAGATCCTCATTGTAGCTATTCTGTTGGCACAAATATTAACTTCTGTGTGTTGTACAATTCTTGTTCATCTCTCCCCACCCCACGCCCCAATAAATCTGCCATAGAGGATCTACCTAGATTGCTGAAGACCTTCTTCTAGAACTGTTTTTAAAAACACATTTCACAGACATTGCTATAGCATCTCTGTTGTTCATCAGTTATCTTTCATTCATGACCAACATACCTTCTTTTCTAATAAAAGATATTTCCTTAATAAATATATTACATGCCACTTCTTGGGCATAATTCATAGTTGGCAATATGCTACAATCATATTAACCTTTTTCCACCTACAGTTTTAATTTCATGTTAATTGTGGTTTTAAATTATTCACAACCATATAGCATCAGAATAAATATACTGGCATCAAGAAGATTGGCTTTTGTTGCAAGAAATAGCTTCAGATCACTGAAAACATTGCAGTTTCCCAGATGCAGTCCAGCCCTCTGTCTTCCTCTCTTCAATTCTGTGTCTAGCTCATTATCCAAATGCAGTGCCCATCAAAGATATATGTACTGATGAATTAACTTAATGGACTGCTCATCCAGCTTCAGCCATAACCTAAGAAATATGCAGTCTTTGTACACTTGGGGGTTTTGTGTGAATTACTAGGTCCATCTCTTTTGAATGATTATGAATCTCATTAAATGTAAGCTCTGCGGTACTCTGGGATTTGATGAAGTCAGCTCAATTTCAGCTGACAATAGACACATTTGGAGGGTTTCATCATCTGTAGGGAATCCTTCTTACATTTTGCCCTTACATAATCATATCTTCGATGGTTATGGGAAACACATTTGGGAAGCGTGTATGTCCCTATTTTATGCTTTGCTTGATATTGATAATCAGACGATTGTTGGACGAAGTTATCTCTGTGTTTGCATCAATCAGAAATCTTGTGTGGTTTTAATGTCAGGGGAAATGCCTTGTTAAAGGAAAATCTTTAAGGCTATGTTTTGTTATGTCATGTTGAATGCTTTTTGGTAATCAATAATCAACACAGTGGGATCTTGGTATTTGCTGTACCTTTCAATTAGTTGTGTTACTGGTTGAAGATTATCTGTGAAAGCTTTCTTGTTTCAATATCATTTTGTTTCCAGGAAGAATATGCTGGATATATGTATAGATTGTCCGTATCAAGATTTTTTTTTTAACATGAGAAAAGTGGGCTTAATGGAATAATAGTTGCTGATGTCTTTCTCATCATTTTTGGGAAGATAATGATAGAATCCAAGATTTTTCTCATTCTCCTGGTATCTTTACCTACTTTACATGTAAGACAACTTTTTACCAGCCATATTGTATTAGGGGCAGCAATTCCACTAAGCAAGAGGAAGAAAAACAGTGACCTTTCTCCCTTAACTCAGTTTTGTTCTTATTCCTTTACTCCTTTCCCCTTCCTCTGTGTTTCAGCCAAATTTGCCTCCTTATTGTTTCTGACACTGCACATTCTATCTCCATGATGCTAGGTAGGCTGTCTCCCATTCCTGGAACATGATTCCTCCTCATCTTTTCCTCTTAGACCTTAATCTCCTTCAGCTCGAGTGCCACCTCTTTCACAAAGCCTTTCCTGATTCCCCCAAAAAATTGTTTTGTATTTACTTTACAAATACTTTTTGTCTTCTTGTATGCATCTATATCATTTCCTCTGATAGAATGTAAGGTTCCTAAAGGCAAAGACTGTTTCCTTTTTTGTCTTTGTATTTCCAGAGCTTCACACAGTGCCTGGCATATAGTAGGTGCTTAGTAAATGTTTATTGGTTTATTACTTAAATGATGTGACAAGAGTGGGTAATGACAGATGGCCAACCTGAATGCTGTGTCAGAACCCATTAAATGTTAAAAATCCTATATTAAGATGGAGCTATGTGCATACTTCCTCATTTCCTGTCTTAGATCTATCATTTTCTATTTCCACTATGAATCCAACATCAGGGAAAAATCCTAATGCTTGTCTCATAGTTCCAGAGAGCAATTCCTTGTGCCACATCAACTCCATTTACAGCTACAATCCTTCAGCACATAATCTAGAGGAAGACCTCCAGCAGATTAAGCAGATAAACTTGAGTATATATGGGAGAACCTAGACACGGCTTATATACGTTTAGAAAGTGTGGGTGAGCTGCCAACTCCATCAGTGGAAGGAGGAGGACGTATGAGATCTACACATCCATCGAAGTATTGTAGTATCATTTCCTCTAATAGCTTATCAACTCACTGGTTGTAAGCCAAGAGGGCTATCAGTTACATTAATGTTTATAGATGATCTAGAAACTATGATCCTTAGTACCCTCTGCCCTTAGCATACTCTGCCAGCATCACTGTGGAGGTAGAAGGGGTCAGTAGAGGAATGAGGGTCTTTTTATATTTCTCTTTGTTTCCGGGGTTACCATAGCCAAAGCATTTATCACCTAGTGACCAGATTTTTTGTAATGAGTTTTTCCATATTTAGGGTAGTCCTTGGACAGCATGAGTAGTTGGTCACTAGGAATTACACTAAAAGCCTTTCCAGTTTTGTAGAACCTGCTAGAGCTAGTTCCACTCACATGGCCTTCAAGAACCAAGGATCACCACCATGCTATGAGGAATATTGGGTAGTTTTTTTTGTGTCTGTAGGAAAAGTTCTTAATGTGCTACTTTTAATAAGAGAATTGTATATATATCTTTCCTCTCTTTTTGAAATTAAATCTATTCTGGACATAAAACTATGGATCTTTTGCCTTGTTTTCTGAACAGGTAGCCTGTGTTTTTGGAACAAACCAATTATTCAGTGCATCTCGTGACAAGACAGCAATACTGTGGGAGTTGAATGGAAATTTACAACCAATACAACAGTTTTTGGGCCATGATATGGTTGTTACTGGATTAGCTGTGAGTCCAGGTGAAGCCTGCATCAAACTTGTTTCTCACCTGCAAAGCTTTTCCTATGAGTGTGCTTTCCTAAGTCCCATTTAAAATCATAACCTCATGGACTCTCTTCTTAAAATCATTTATAGATTCTTCACAGATATGTACTGGTTCTCGGGACAATACTCTCTGTATGTGGGATATAAAGACTGGAGAATGTCTTCAGAAAGCTACCATTTCAAGAAACCTGGTAAGAACCGGGTAAAAAAATCTCTGTCTGTGGTAGGCAGTATGTGGAAGGGGCAAGAACATACTGATGGGAAGTCAGTAGACTTCCAGGGCCTAGTCCCAGCTCTGTTACTAACTAGCTGTGTGATATTAATCAAATAACTTCATCTCTCTGGGCCTTATTTATCAAATGAAGGGATTGAAAACAAGAATCTCTTAAGGTACCTTTCAGCTTTAAGAGTTATGTTTCCATGATGCTATATAGTAATGATGGCTGACATTTATGTAGCATTTTAATGTTTACAAAACACTCTATGTACATTCTCATTTAATACAGTAATGCATTGGCTTTAAAAGATTTCATCCTTCCTGACTTTGTGAATCTATTGCACACAGAAGGCTATCCCCAAAGGAGTAGTTCCTGCCTTTATTTAAATGGATAGACACATCATTTTCTGATTACAGTTACCAGGTTATGAGAGAAAATCCACTTGCCCTTTGTTCTTTCCTTTGGAGAACTGCGTTAATTTTGAAAACTGCCGTAAGCCTGAACCAGCAGGGGGCCACATCAGTAATGAGAAAGGTTAGAATTCTGAATTCTCTTTTTCCCAGTGCCACTGTATGGAGTCCTCAGATATGCAGTGGGTTTGGCCATGGATTACTCATTTGGCCTTTCAGACCCTCCCTCCTTCCACTCATCTGGGCATGAGCTTTAGGCATTCCATTTGTTTGCAGAGTCCCTGATAACATAGGTCTTTAAGTGGGCTTAAATAAGAAACAAACCAAGTAAAAAAGAGTAAAATACCCCTGTTTCTGGCAGGGAGGGGGCAGAGAGAAGAAATGACAGAAGAGAAACGGTGATTTTTGCTAACAAGTTAAGAGTCATCATGTTATGATCACTAATCATTTCTTGTATGACCCTCTGGTTGCTCCCAAAAATGTGATAAGAAAGGATTTGAAGGAAGGGAAGGAGGCTTGTCAGATAGATAGTAGAAAATTGTTACAGTCCTGTAAATGGCAGAGAGTATATAAATGTCTACATTGTTGGTTGTCTTTTTACAAAGTAATCAGAAAATTGTATTTTAATGCCTGACATAGTGTCTTGAAATGTTTGAGTTGCTTTCAATCTCTTTCCCAAATTCTGAAATTAATTTTGTAGGGAAGGGGGAAACAGAGAGAAACAAAGTTATTACATAGGAGATGCTTAATAACTGTTTATTGCTGATGGTGCCTTAAAAATAAGACACGGAGGCATGAAACTGTACAAAGTCCCTTAAAAGCATATTCACTAGTTCTTAGATGTTTGAGAAGAGGTACAGATATATTTTCTGTGGAGCAGTGATTTGCTGGAAACTGTGGAGATATTAGGGAGTGCCTTGTTTGGTGGGATTTATTTTGAAGTTGTTAAAAAGTTCATTCTTCTAGGTCACTCATCTGTGCTGGATCCCTGGAGAACCACTTATGCTCCAGACCTCTGAGGATAAAAGCATCAGGTGGGCTTGCTGATGGAGTAGGGATCTGTAGAGCTCACCTTGTAGGGTACATGCTTCCTAGATTTGATTCTTGTCCTTTACTGTTAGCTTCATTCCTTCTGCCCCCTGGGAAGTCCCCATGTGGAAGTCGCAGGGACCATATTTGGTCCTATGTACAACCCTCGACAAGAGACCCCTACGGTCCCAACTAAATCTGCTGCTGCCTCCGTGTCCCCATTTTGGAGGTGCTTGTTTGAAGTTGGTCTCCCCACCTGCAGTCACCAGCTGCTCTTGCCTGACCTCTTCCTTATTTCTCCACTTAGCTGCCTAACGTGTCTCTGTGATTGTACACTTAACTGAAGCCCTCTTTTTAGCTGCTAGTCTCTTCTTTTCTTTGGCAGCTAGGTGGTGCACTGGATAGAGTGCTGGGCCTGGACTCAGGAAGACCTGAGTTCAGATGTGGCCTCAGACATTTGAGACAAGTCACTTAACCTTCATCTGCCTCAGTTTCCTGAACTGTAAAATGGAGATAATAATAGCACCTACTTCCCAAGGTTGTTGTGAGGATCAAATGAGATAATATTTGTAAGGCACTTAGCACAGTGCCTGGAACATAGTAGGTGCTAAATAAATGCTTATTCTTTCTCCTTTTCCTTTGGTGTGGAGACTATCAACACTAAAATAGATCTGGGAAGGGGGGGAGGGAAGGTATTGCTTTTTAAGTGTGGAGCAGAAGCAGAATTATAATTAATGGAATTAAGGGAAAGAGCTATATTTTGTGATGGCAGGAACTCTAGATTATGACTCCACATAGAAAGTGCTAGAAACCATGTAAGAAAATGTAATGAAAATAATCCCATGAATTGACCTCATGCATAAGTTGAAGAATATCTGTAAATCTTCTGTATCTGATTTCTAGAATAATGCCCATCTCTCTTAGAGCAATTTCCTTATCACATTCAAAACAGATCTCACAGTATGATTAGAACCAGGTCACCAGCCCCAAATTACCTGGAAAAAATCAAGTCACTTTATTTAAAATCTTGTCAATTAAATCTTTGAATAGAATATTCCAAAACATCAGCAACTAATGTCATTTCTTAGAGCCATTTCACCAACTCTGGAACCTTGTGGACAGACCCATTTTGGGGAGCATTGTCTCCTAGACAACACAGGACATTCCATGGTTTTGGTCCTGGGCAGAAAAGAACCAAATATTTTGTATTAGCAGATTATCTAAAGTAGGTATATTGTATATGTTTAATCCACCATTTCCAACCCAATTCATTTCAGAATTTGGGACAGTCGCAGGTTGCAAGTGGCTCATAAATTTCCAGTAAAGCAGCATATTCAGACCTACTGTGACGTCAGTCCAGATGGATATAACTGTGTCTCTTGTAGCAGTGGCTTTGGAGGGGAAGGCTGTGAAGCAACGGTAAGAGATTATATCAAAAACAGAAGGTAACTCCTACCACATGACAGCCCTTCAGATATTGAAAACATGGCTGCTAAAGCCCTTTCTACACACTAAACATTCCTAGTTCCCTCAACTAGGTCTCAGAGGACATGGTCGCTAAACCTTTCACCATCTTGGTCTCACTGCTCTGAATGTGCACCAACCAATCTAACACTTAGGACAATGGGGCCTCTTGCCCCCCTTATTCTGGATGTTATACTTCTGTACATCGTCTGCATGGTGACTAGAAGACAAAGCCAATATGTCTGTACCTTCAACTCATATACTTATAGCAAGGACCTCTTACCCATAAGTCCTTTAAAATACCCCAAAGAAACCCAGTACACAGCCGCTGGAGGGTTGCTGTGGGCAGCAGGGCCACTTCAGACTCTCCCTAGGCTGTGGCTATCTGTTTAACAACAGTCTCCTTTGATAAGAAGAGTTTGAGGTACTCACATCAGCTAAACCTACAGAATGCAGATTATTTCTACCAATATTCCTGAATGGTCAGTGCCTTGCACATGGTAGGTACTCAATAAATATAACTCAGGGAATGGATAATTAATGTGTGACTGGGTGGATGTCCTGAGAAATAAAACAGTTAAGAAACTAGAGGAAAATGTGTACAGTGGTTCCTTTTTACACCTTGTGTCATTATGTTACAGTTGTGGGACCTAAGACAGACTAGAGGTAAAATATGTGAGTACAAAGGACATTTCCAGACAGTGACATCCTGTGTCTTCCTGCCGAATGGGTTATCTGTGATACCAGCAATTGCCACCTCATCATACGACAGCAAGGTGAAGATTTGGAACCAAGATACTGGAGGTGAGGAAGTTGCTATATGTTTCTCCAAAAGCACTATCATGGTAATGATTGCTTCTTTTAAAAATTCTCTTTAAATCGGTTTAATATTTGTAGTAGCCTTAGTGCCTGCCTAACTTCCAAGTAGTTAGGGGATCACACTAAGATCCTGGGACCACTCTCTCTCCACCCCTTAGTGGAAGCAATTATAGTGGTATGGTCACTACTGAGCCAGATAGCCTTTACATTTTAAATGGCTTTTACATCTGTGCACATCCCCTACTCCCATGTAAAATGTAATACTCAAAATAACAGTTAGGAAGATTAATGCAGACTTGGCAAATATGAGGGTTTTTCTACAGGATTAAAATGTAAACCCCAGTTGTAGAAGTTCTCTCAAACGTGCCCTCCCTTTCACAACAACAGCTTGGGTTTTCAGATTCCAATAGAATTATTAATACTTCATTGCACAAGAGAATCAGGAAGCCAGAGAGAAAAACATTTCAGGGAACATAGCTACCCAGATTAGTAGGGGTTATCACACTCTGTCCTGTATGCCAAGTACATACAGTTATGTAGATTCTACTTAGATAGAAATCTAAATAACTAGAAAACCTCAGATTCTACTTTTATAGATAAATCATCCAGAATACTTGTTTTGCAGAAGTGGGAATCAGCTTGACTCTTCTGGAGCAAAGATTTAAGGGCATGAGGCAGCATTGTCATCAGCCAGAAACATTGTGAACAGCAATAATCCAGTCACAGACTGAAGGGCAGTCTCCTATATGTAGTATTTTAAAAGCTCCTCTTCATGCATTAGTTTTTTAAGCTATGTAAGGGTAACATTAGCACCTGTGAACTGTGATTGTAAGGGTAGATTTGTCCATTTTGAGTTCATTTCATAATGATTATCTGTTTGAATAATCCATAGAGAAGACTAGTAAAAATTTTTGGCTTTATGCACTAAACTACGTTAAATGAACTTTAAGTGACTATCTCTCAGCCAGTTGGAACAGGCGTCCAAGAAGAAGACATTTGAGGACCTCGGCTCCCTGAAAAGCAGGATTCACTCTACACTCTCAGAGACAGGTCACTAAAAGTCCTCTTAGTTTCCTCACAGTTGGAAGTTTATGCTACATGTCCTTAGTAAATATGGATTTAGTATTTGATTTAACCTCTTTTATTCCAAATCACAAACTATTAGAGCTGGAAAGAACCGTAGAGGTGAAAGGAGGACATTGAGGCTCAATGATGTAAAATTATTTATTCCAGATCACAGTCATTGTTAGAGCCAGGGTGAGAACCCAAGTTCTTTCTGAGCTTCTCGGTTTGTAATACGTCTCTGCATAGTTTTCCCCCAGTGCCTGTAATGCCTTCTCTCCACCCCTCTGCCTCTTAGACTCCTTAGCTGCCTTCAAGGCTTGACTCAAGGACTGTTCCCTCCCTGAAGTCCTTCTTGATTCCTCCAATTGTTAGGGCTCTTTCCCTTATCAAATTCGTTTGTATTTGCTCATCTATATGTTCTATGTCTGAGCAGAATGTAAGCCCCCGTAAGAACAGGCACCATTTTTAAGTTTGGTTTGGTTTTTCCATTCTTTCCTCAGCATCTAGCAGTAGTCAGGCCAACTCCATCAGCATTTACAAGGCGCCAGGCAATGGGCTAAGTGCTGGGGATAAGAAGAAAGACAAAACAGCTCCTGTCTTCAAGGAGCTCACAGTCTAATTGGGGGAGACCACAAGCAAGCAACTATGTACAAACCAGATGTATATAGGTTAAATTGAAGGTAATCTCAGAGAGAAGACACTGACATTAAGGAAGCCAAAAAGCCTTCTTGAAAAATTTTAGCTAAGACTTGAAAGAAGCCAGAAGGCAGAGTTGAGGATGGTCACTTTGATAGCTGAGTGGAGCATAGTCTTTTTTTTTGGGGGGGGGTTAAGCAGTTGGAGTTAAGTGACTTGCCCAGATTCACACAGCTAGTGAGTGTTATGTGTCCACCTTGCTGCCCTGTAAGTGGAGCATGGTCTTGAGGCAGGGAGATCAACCAGAAGACTGCTGGTCCAGGTTTGAAGTGATGAGAACCTGCAGCTGGGTTAGAGGAGAGATAGACATGTCCTAGAAATGAAAGAATGTGGAGGTGAGGGTGATGCCAAGGTCACAAGCTTGAGTGATTGGGAGGATGGTGGTGCTCTTTACCATATTGGAGAAGTTAGGAGAGAAGGTTTTGGGGGAAAGATCATGATTTCACTTTTGGACATATTGAGTGTAAGATATCTAAGGAGCATCCAGTTCCAGATGTTCACTAGGCAATTGAACATGCAAGATTGGAGGTAAAGAGATAGGTTAAGGCTGAACAAATAGATCTGAGAATCATCTGCCTAGAGATGAAAATTAAATCTATGGGAGCTGATGAGATTACCAAGTAAAATAAGAGCAGGAGAAGAGGGGAGGGCCCAGGACAGAGCCCTTGGGAATGGCCAAGATTTAAAAAGCATGGGGCAGCTAGGTGGTGCAGTGGATAGAGTACTGGCCCTGGAGTCAGGAGGACTGAGTTCAAATCCAGCCTCAGACACATAACACTCACTAGCTGTGTGACCCTGGGCAAGTCACTTAACCCCATTGCCTAGCCCCGCCAAAAAAAAAAGGTTTAAAAAGCATGTCCTGAAGATAAGCCAGCAAAGGAGATTGTGAAGAAGCAGTTGGACAGGTAGGAGAAGAACAATGATAAAGGTGGTATCATGAAAGCCCAGAGAAAAGAGTATCAAGGAGAAGAGGGGGACTTGACAGAGAGATCAGGAAGGATGAAGACTGAAAAAGGCCTTTGGATTTAGCATTTAAGAGATCATTCATAACTTTGGTGAAAGTAGTCTCAGTCAAGTAATGAGGCCATAAGTCAGGTGCCAAGAGTTGAAAAGGAAGTGGAGGCACCAATTGTAGATGGCCTTGTCAGGGAATTTAACCATGAAAAAGAGAAGAGATACAAGATGACAGCTATCAGAGATGGAGAAATCCAATGAGAGGGGGTTTTGGGGGGGTTTTTTTATATACATTTACTTATTTTTAGTTTTCAACATTCAGTCCCACAAGTTTTTGAGTTCTAGATTTTCACCCCATCTCCCCCCTCCCCCCACCCCAAGATGGCATGCATTCTGAATATCCCTTCCCCTAGTCTGTCCTCTCTTCTATCTCTCCCCCCTTCTCTTATCCCCTTCCCCTTCTGTTTTCCTGTAGGGCAGGACAGACTTCTGTACCTCATTTCCTGTATTTCTTATTTCCCAGTAGCATGTGAAAACATTTTTTTTAAACACATGTTTTTAAAACTTTAGGTTTCAAATTTTCTGTCTTCCTCCCTCCCCACCCACCCTCATTGAAAAGGCAAGCAACTCAATATAGGTTATACATGTGCAGTTATGCAAAACACATCCGTAGTAGACATGTTGTGAAAAACTAACTCTATTTCCCTTAATCCTATCCTGCCCTCCCATTTATTCTATTCTTTCTTTTGACCCTGTCCCTCCTCAGAAGTATTTACTTCTGATTACCCCCTTTCCCAATCTGCCCTCCTCTCTATCATCCCCTTGCTCTCTTGTCCCCTTCTCCTCCTGTTTTCCTGTAGGGTAAGACAGATTTCCATACCCAATTGAATGTGTATGTTATTCCCTCCTGAAGCCAAATCCTATGAGACTAAGATTCACTCATTCTCTCTCACCTTCCCCTGTTTCCCCTCCACTGCAAGATACTTTTCTTTTCTGTTTCTTTTTTGTGAGATAATTTACCCCATTCTACCTCTTCCTTTCTTCTTCTCTGAGTATAATCCTCTCAAATGAGAGTTTTTTTAAAGATGAGGAAAACATGGACTGTATTTGTAGGCAACAGGGAGAGATTTAAGCAGTCAGTCAACAGGGAGAGATTGAGGATTAGTGAGGGAGTGGGAGTGATAGAGTCAATGATCTTCTCGAGAAGATAGGGTGGAATGGGATCACTTGTACATGTAGAGGGGTTAGCCTTGCCAAGGAGAAAGGCTGCCTTATGATGGGAGATGGATAAAAGAGGAGATGGTGGCAGAAGGTATCTGAATGATGAGATGAGCAGGGGAGAAGAGGGAGCTCCTGGTAATGGCCCCAATTTTTTCAGTGAAATATGATGCAAAGTTCTCAGCTGAGAGGATGAGGGTAGGGGAAGCCATGGTAGGTTTGAGGAGGGATGAAAAGGTTTGGAAGAGCTGCCAAGGAAAGTGGCTTGATTAGGGAGGCATAACAGGATTTTCTTGCTGCAATGAGAGCAAGGTTGAAATGATAAATTTGTAGTGATTTTCTCCAGCTTCATTCAGCATGAGAGCAAGAGCAAAGGCAGCAGGTAGTGGAAGTAATCCAGGGCTGGGCTTGGCAAGGCATGATTGGCGATAGGATGAGAGAGCAAGGGACAGGAGCATAGTCTAGAATTGAACTAGATTCACCAAGGAGTCAAAATGGGACTGGGAAGAGAATGGGTAGCTAGTGTAAGAATGATGGCTAGAGGGAAAATTGAGGGGTAGAGAGATTGCACGTCACAGAGAGGACAAAGAGCAGGGTAGGGGGTCGTAAGGCAGAGGGAAAGGTAGGATTACATAAAAACGAAAATTACAGTTATCCCTTCCATATCACAGTGGTTAGGGGCACAGTGCCCCTGTGGTCTGGAAAATCTGCATAAAATTTTTTGGCCCTCCTTTTGTCACAGAGAAGTCTAAATTATTATGGTATTAAAAGATAAAATATGTTGATATTATACAATACTGTACATATATTTTATGCATTTCTAAGTTTCTGAACTTATTCTGTGTCATCTGCTGGTCTTCTTGTGTTGTCTGCAGCTTCCACAAAATTCCCCCAAAAATTTCCATTTAATTTCTTATGCCGACCCAAGACATATCAGAATCACAAAGGGGAAAGTTGCGATGTGGAAGGGATAACTGTAGTTGATAAAAGAATTTCATAGTTCGTAAGCATGGAAGTGGAACATTTGTGGAGTGATGGCAGGATCAAGGGTGTGACCATCCTTGCGTGAGGATGAAGTGGGGTGGAGAAGTAGATCTTGGGAAACAGGTTGAGAAACGGAGTTACAGTGGTTGAGGAGGTATCAACATGTATTTTGAAGCCCCCTAGGATGAAGGCAGGAGTTGGAGAGCAGAGAAAGAATGAGTCATGACCTGAACTCCAAAGCAGGTAGGAGTGTCCTGGAGGTTGGTAAATAATAACCATCAAAATTTTGAATGGTAGTAGCTACTTAATAAATGCTCCACAAACAATGTGTATTGAGTAAAATGATGCTTTATGGTACCTACCTAGTAGGATTGTTGTGAAGTTTAGGTGAATTAATATATTTAAAGTGTATTGCCAGTCTTAAGGTACTATAAATGTTAGCTATTCTCATTGTACTGTGCTATAGTGTATTGTATTGTAGTGTACTGTATTACCCTCCTGTTGTTATGTCCTGTGTACCTTATGAGAGGCAGCATGGCGTGGTGGGTGGAGAGTAGTCTCAAGGCCAGGGTTCAGAACGGCTCTGACACACAATGGCATCTTGTAGCGCTCTGAACGACTAAGACTTTTGTTTTGCTTTTTTTTGGTGAGGCAATCAGGGTTAAGTGACTTGCTCAGGGTCACACAGCTAGACTTTTGATTGTAGAAATGGTGCCCGGGGCAGCTAGGTGGCGCAGTGGATAGAGCACTGGCCCTGGATTCAGGAGGACCCGAGTTCAAATGCAGCCTCAGACACATAACACCTGCTAGCTGGGTGACTCTGGGCAAGTCACTTAACCGCATTGCCTAACCTCCCCCCCCAAAAAAAAAAGAAATGGTGCCCATCCCTGCATTGTTTGCTGATGTTTCTGAAGAAACTAATGGCCTGTTCCTTTTTCCAGCCTGCCTTTTTACCCTCCCTCTGGATGGATCTGGCCCTTTGGCTTCCTTGGCCATCTGTGACACCTCCTCCCTACTTTGTGCGAGTTTCAACTCTGGAATTCACTTACTCAGGATCAATAACAGCAAAGGGCTGCAGATGCAGGAAGTGGCCACGTTCTGATGCCTCGCTGCCTTCCTCTGTAAAGGGAGCTCAGGTGAAAAAAATTCCCGGAACCTCCTCTCTCAGCGTAAGCTTTTCTCTTCGGCTGTGTCCATGGCGCTCAGGAGGGCATAAGGAACACATTTAGGAATGATACACAGGTGTTAGCACAGAGGTTGAAACAAGTCCATTGTTTCAAAAACAAGATTATTTCATTTAGTTTAGAAATGTACATCAGTTATGAAGTTCTTAAGCCAAACTTCATTTGAACAGATTCTAATTTTAAAACTCTTTGACCCACCATCCAAAAGTCAGTTTATTCCTCAAAACATGCCCACTTTGTGATAGGTGAGAGATGGATAGGGAGGGACCAGGTGGAGAGACTCCCACCGCTGCTGCCAGTCAGCAGCTTCTCTAAAACTTACCGTCTTAGAGAGCTGCCCTAGAGGCCCTGACTTGCCCAGGATAGGTCAGAGGTGGAACGTGAAAGCAGGTCTTCCTGACTTGGAGGCCAGCCTCATGCCAAAGGAAGGTGTAGGCAGAATTCAGAAGGGACAAATAAACATCCCAGGAGCTAAGGTGGCGCCGGGTGAAAATGTGTCTAGGCCCCATCAGATTCTGTTCAGTGTCTCAGTCAGTGCTGTATGCTCAGTGCAGATAAGTCCTGACTGTTTGGGTCCATGTTCCTTCCCTTCTCCTTTGACTCCGACCCCATTCCTGCAGTGTCCCCTGGGTCCATGGCAACTATGATAGGGAACAGGAGAAGCAGTAAGAAGTATGAATACTTTAATGAATTCCCAGCTCAAGGAGTAAAATAGCAGGGAATATCAATGAATCCTAGATTCACCCCATGCAGCAAAACTTGCAGAATGGAAATGTAACCTGTACTGAGCCTGCTGCAAAGAGGGTTCTGTTCCAGGGCCTGCTTCAGAGAAGGGCTGCCCGTTTTGTATCTGAAGTTCCCATAAAAACCTTCATCAGCCAAGGTTGACTTTGGATCCTGGGGTTACTGGATCTTCATCTAGAGCTCCTTCTCTCTCTTTTCCCATTTGAGGCTCTAGCATTAGGTTGCCTTATTTTTTTTTTCATTTTTTTTTTAAGTTTTGCCAAGGCAAAGGCTTGCTCAGGGTCACACAGTTAGTAAGTATCATGTGTCTGAGGCCTGAGGTCAGATTTGAACTCAGGTACTCCTGACTTCAAGGCCGATGCTTTATCTACTGCGCCACCTAGCTGCCCCCCAGGTTGCCTTATTCTTACCAGGTTACAGAAAGAAACCAAATGGTGCAGAAGTTTAGGCAGCAAAGGTCAATAAGTATAACAAGGGAAATTGAACCAGAGATAGGAGCAGAAAGGAATCATGTGCTTTGGGTTTTTTTTCTTTTTTTAAATTTTTTTTTTGAAAATTCTGAGCTTAATGTACATCAAGTAAAATGAGCATTTCCTTGTGTAAAGTAGAACAGAAAAAAGGGGGGTCATACATGAAACTAAAAATTTCACACATATTGCTTACTTTTCTTTTAAGTATCCAATGTAACTTTCAAAGCTTTTTTGTGGTTTCCTTTTCTTGCCTTTTTTTCCTGTACATTTTAAAAAAATGCTTCAATTAGCTCTTTTATTTTTTTCTTTTTTGTTTGGCAACCCTATTACTACCCTCCTTTTTCTCCCCTCCCCCACTGAAAAAAGAAAAGCAAAAGGTTTATAACATATACATAATCAAGGGGGGGAAATTCCTACATTGGCCATCTTTGTATGTTTTTTTCTGAAACTTGAATCCATCTCTCAAGTTTTCTAAATATACTTTGCCCCAAGTTAGTTATGTTGAATTTAATCAAAGGTTACTTAACAGGTAAACCTTAATCCCAATTTTCAGTCAAGGTTTTTATGCACTCATTTAGAGCAGCCTTCCTTGCTCTATAAATTCCCAGTCTTCAGGCAAGACCACATTTAAATCACATCAGACAAATTTATTCTCCTCTGTAGTAGTATATTACATACTCTTTGCTCTCTCTCTCTTGCTGTGTCTTTCTCTTTTCTTTTTCTTTCTCTCTGTTTCATTCTGTCACACACATATTGCATCTCTCAATATTCCTAATAAGCCACCTGAATTCTCTTTGTACAGTTTAAGCATCTTGTATTGTTTCCTCTACAATGGAGATGGAGGAATAGACAATTATCCTCTGTAAAACAACAAAACTTCCTTTTTTTCCAGGTTAAATAATTCTGATTGCGTTAGCCTTTCCTTATAAATCTTATTTTCTAATTTTGTTATTTCCCTCTAAACCCTATCTGGAGTCTTTCTCATGTTACAGAGCTCCATATTTAAGTAATCCCATTAGCTTTAGCAAACGTGTATAAAATGCCTTCTCAGTGCAAGGTATTATTATAGTAGGTGCTGGTGATACGAGAGGTAAAAAATAATATGACCCCTGTTCTCAAGAAGGGGCTATCTAGCACATAAGAAGAGGGAGAGAGCATGCTAATGATGTCACACATTTTGCCTGATTGACCTTCTGCCTCATTTGAGCCCAAACCTATGCATTCAAGATGTCTGGCTACCTGAAATCTCTCTGATGTGTGTCAGGGCGCCATTTTGCAGTTGACATCCTCTCATTCCTAGAAGTAGGAGCGAGATCAGGTAGGGAGAACGAGGGGAGCAGGCTCAGTCAGGAAAACTGAAGCAAGTCAGGGCCAGCCATGATAGACCTGAAAGAATTGAAAGGAAGAAAACTTGCTGATTTAGCTCTCAAGAAAATTGCCTTTTCAGGCCAACAATTTCTCTCTCTAGAGAAACTAGAGTAACCGTGGCAGCAGCTCTTACTTCATTGGTCTGTGCAGGGTCTAGAACTGAGGAGTAATATTGGCATAGTAAAAAGAGCACTGGATTTGGAATCAGAAGATTTGGATTCAGAGCTCAGTTCTGCTCACTAGGTGACCTTGGGCAAGTCAGTTCACCTTTCTGGGCCGCAGTTTTCTCTTCTGTAAAATGAGGAGATGGGACTAATTGGTTTCTAAGGTCTTTTTTGTCTCCAAATCCTCTGACTTATATAAGTTTTACTTGAAAAAAATGTTAAACTACCAATGGCTGATTAGGATCCCATTTCCAGTGTTTGCCTAAGCTGTGTGCTAAAGACTGATATAAGTTGCTTACCAGTGTATTTCCATCTAATTCAGTGAATGTTTTTTGAGCACCTACTACACACAGATCCCTCTCAGTCAGCTCTAACTACCCTGAGCCAGATTGTCCAAGTGCCCAAAGGTCCCTCTCTTGAAAACAGCACAAACTTTTTTCTACCAAGAATAGTTTTCTAAGTTGCTGCTTCAGTTACAAACAATCCCTAGCTCCCAAAGAGGGTTGGTTTGTTCTCAGGTAATGGTTTTGGCACTTGGAGAATCTGACCCACTGTATCCTAAGGGTAGTGTGACTAAATGTTTTTGTTAGAAATGTGAGTGAACAGAAATGTTCTGGGTCTCCATGCAGAGGTAATGTTGAATCCCTTGGTAGTGACTTGGGGAAAAGAACTTATCTTGATTTGTGTTTTAAATGTGATTTTAAAATTAAATAACTTTTTATATTTGTACTGTGGTTGGTAACCAGCAATAATAATGTATTGACTGCTTTACATAGGCAAATTCAATGTGAATTTTTAAAAGTCTTCACAAGTTGATTGGTGAATTGTATCAAATGAAAGATATCAATCCATTCACTCAACACATATTTATTGAAAATGTACTATATCCAAGGCACCAATGGCACTTTTGTTTGGTATCGTGAAACCTGAGCATATTTTTTTAGAGATTGAACACTTATTTCATGTGGTATGTCTTTTGTATTAAATACTGAGTTAAAATAAGTGAATAAAATTGAAAACCCAGCCTATGTTGTACTTGTGTGTGTTTCTGAAGAAACAATACCAACTATGCTAAATTTAGTTAAGATGAAAATATTTGTGAATTTGTCTTAAATAAATTTGTATATGTGTACAATGTTAGTTGCCTTTGCCAACATATTTTGAACCCTGAAACAGAAGATCCCTCACTTTCTCATAACTCCTTTATGCCCTTTTGTCTCTTTCAGTTCAAATCAATCTACAGAGTATATACAATTTTAAAAGGCTACTTGTAGTTTTATTAACTTTTGAGTGCTGCATGTGCAGAGAAAAAAGTACAATTAATTGATATGAGTTGTCCTCCTCTCCCTATCTAATCACTAGTATCCATACCAAAAGCAGTAAAATTGTCACAGTACCTTTCATGTCTTACAATGCAAAGACTGGAAGGGACCTTAGCAAAGTCTAGTCTAATTCCTTCATCTTACAGTGGGAAAACTAAAGTCCAGAGAAAAGAAACTTGCCCAAAGCCACATAATGAGTCAGTGACAGAATCAAAATTCACGTTAACTGATGCCAACTTCTCTTCTCTAGTTGGACTAACTTCATGGATCATCATTTCCATTTTGTCTCTATGGCTTTCCTTCGTCTTGATTTCTCTCAAAAGGCAGTCCAAAGCTGGACCCAGGACCTTAGGAAAGGTCTACAGGGATGCTCCCTCACCTGCACATCGAAGCCCGCCTCTGTCAGGCCAAGGTCCATCCCTAAGCAGCTGTCCAATTAGTGGTCCACAGCAAAGTCTGAATGCCAACACCTAGTTATGTACCTATGGGAACACCTAAGGAGGAGACAGAAGAAGGCAGAAAGAAGGAAAGGGAAGGACAACCCTGTGGTTAGAAGTCATTTGTATACGGACAGGATGATAAGCAAGGCCAGAGAGTGACCAAGGAGACAGAGAATCTCCACACCCAAAGGACCTGGCAAACCTCTCTGCAGGAGAGGCTTGGGATGTGATGGATGGCCACTGATTCTTCTGACTGAACCAGCTGCTGCTGTACAGAGCCAGGAGCCAGCAATTCCAGGGTGACCAGGGTCTCTAGGGCTAGCTTAGCCCCCTGCCCTGGGTATGGCCATGGGGCTGGGGCTGGGAGAATGGAACACAGTTTATTTCCCTCCAGTCAGATATCAGGCAAGGCTTGCATTCATGGAA